CATCCCACATTTCCTCTGGTTTTTGGTCACTGGTGTTCAATGCATCAAGTCTATTCTTCAGGTGATCTCTAAATTCAGGAGGGATATAATCAAGGTCACATTTTGGCTCTTGTGGACATGTTTTAATTGTCTTCAACTTCAACTTGAACTTGCATATGAACAGTTGATGGTTTGTTCCACAATCAGCTTCTAGCCTTGTTTTGGCTGAAGATGTTGAACTTGTCCATCACCTCTTGCCACAGATATAGTCAACCTGATTTCTGTGTTATTCATTTGGTGAATTCCATGTGTATAGCCACCATTTGTGTTGTTGACAAAAGGTATCTGCAATGAGTAAGTCATTGGTCTTGCAAAACTCTATCATGCAATGTTCAGCATTATTTCTATCACCAAAGCGAAATTTCCCAACTACCAGTGATTCTTTTTTGTTTCCAACTTATGCATTTGAAACACCAGTGATGATCAACACATCTTGATTTCATGTTAGGTCAATTTTAGACTGCAGAATTTGGTAAAACTCTTCACTTTCCTCATCTTTGGCTTTGGTGATTGGTGTGTAAATTTCAATAGTAGTAGTATTAACTGGGCTTCCTTGTAGGTGTATGGATATTATCCTATCACTCACAGCATTATACTTCAGGATAGATCTTGAAACATTCTTTGTGATGATGAATGCCCCACCATTCCTCTTCAATCTGCCATTCCCAGCATAGTAGATCATATGGTTGCTGATTCAAAATGGCTGAACCTGGTCCATTTCAGCTCACTAATGCCTAGGATACCAATCTTTATGTGTTCCATTTTTGACAACTTCCAATTTTCTTAGATTCATACTTCATATCTTCCATGTTCCAATTAGTAATGGATGTTTGCAGCTGTTTTCCCTCAGTTTGAGTCATGCCACGTCAGCAAATGGAGGTCTTGAAAGCTTTACTTTATCCGTATCATTAAGATTCGCTTGTACTCTGATGAGGCAGCTCTTTCCCAGTCATTTTTGAATGCCTTCTGACCCGAGAGGCTCATCTTTCAGCACTGTATCAGACAATGTTTTAGGGTTATTCATAAAGTTGTCCAGTAATTTATCAGTGTTTCACTGCTAGTCATAAGGTTTTTCCAGGCCAATTCTTTGAGAAGTGGATGGCTTTTTCCTTCTTCTGAGTCTTTCTCAGTCTGGAAGCACCACTGAAACCTGTCCAATCCTGCTGGCATTTGAAACACCAGTGGCACAGCCTCCAGCCTCACAGCAACATGCAAGTCACTACAGTACAACAAACAAGTTCATCTCCCTTAGCTGTTCCAAACGTCTCCGCCCACTTCCTGGCCTTCCCCCTACCTGTATCTGGCCATCAGCCCTGGCTTCCCACTTCCTGCCTGTGGTGGGGCTCTCACTCCCCTTAAGTGGATCTAGTATCTTTAGATCTCAGAAAAAGATGCAAGAATAATGGGTCTATTTTATGTAAACCAAAAAAGCAAACCACTACCATTAAGTTGATTCCAACTCATAGCAACATTTATTGGGTATCTGAGGTGGTAAATCTTTATAGAAATAAA